ACCTCCAACTCTTGAGCTTAAGTAATTCTCTTGCCTCAACCTCCCAACTAGCTGGGACTATAGCTACAATGCCCAGCTATTTTTTTTTTTTTTTTGCTGCAGTTGTCATTGTTTAGCTGGCCTGGGCTGGGTTCAGACCTGCCAGCCTTGGTGTATGTGACTGGCGCCATAACCACTGTGCTAGGGACGCCGAGCTGGAGTTGGAAAGGCTTTTAAGATCTCATGTGGTCCAGTATCTTTTCTTTGTATTATGTACATGACTGCCTACAACACAGGTTCATCTTATAGTATCTCATATGAGCATTACAGAAGCCTTTCTGAAGTAGATATGGTAGTAGTTATTACTAATACTTTATTAGTATTAGTTTTGAGAAAAGTTAAATAACCTGCTAGGAGCCATATATTGGCAGAATGGAAGGAGACTCAAACTGAGGTGCTTGATTCCTTAGTCCAGTGCACTTTCACTACCAAGCTGCTTCACTAAAAGCCATGGCACTTCAAATACCACTGTAGTACATCATTTGAAGCAATTCAATTTAGGAAAAACCTTCATCATCAAAATAGATAACTTTTTCATCCATACATATATATGGTGTTTATTTGGATATGCTGGTATACAGCGTATTTAATTTCAACAATGTGTTCCTTTACATATTCCATGTTTAATAACCAATATTGATTGTAATTAATGAACCCTATTTACTTTACCTTGAATATTTTTCTGGAGCTTTTTGATTTGAAAATATTTTCCCTAAATATCGATTGTGTTATATCTTTTTGTTTCAAGCTTATAGCTTATATTTTTTGTGTTTTTACTTTCTTATACTTCATACATTTTACCTGCTGTTGTTCAGTTGCATTTCATTAACCTGAAATCACAAGTGTTGCAACTTCTCAGTTTGATTTTTCATAGTACCTTGCTACTTTTGCTGTAACAAATTCAAAAGCATTGATGTGTAGATTTTTATTATTGTTTACCTTAATTTTATAAATTCTCCAATAGATTGTTCTCAGGAAGATTATTAGGGATGTTCAAGTTCAAAAAGGAAAATAGAGGAGGAAAAGTTATTTCATGCCATCTGGATTTTAGGTGCTTATTTGATTTTTCACTCATTAAAATATAATAAAAGTACTTTCCTAAAATTAAAACAGTATAGAATATGTGGTTAAACTAAACAGAAGTTATCTTTTTTTTTCTTTGAGACAAAGTCTCAAGGTGTCACCCTGGGTAGAGTTCTGTGGCATCATACCTCACAGCAACCTCCAACTCTTGGGGCAAGCAATCCTCTTGCTTACTTTTTCTTTTTCTTTCTATTTTTAGTAGAGAAGGGGTCTCGATTTTGCTCAGGCTGGTCTTGAACTCGTGAGCTCAAGCTATCCACCCACTTCAGCCTCCCAGAGTGCTAGGATTATAGGTATGAGCCCCCACGCCCACCAAAATGGGGATCTTTTTTTTTCTTTTTCTTAAGCAGGCCCCAGCTGGGTTTGAACCTGCCACACACTGTGACTGGTTGGCACTGTAAACAAAAGTTCTCTAAACCGTTATCCTACCCTCTTTCTCTGAAATAAACACTTGTTGGCATATATTTATTCAGAACTGTTTTTTGCTTTAAAGCTGCAATATGGAAGTCCCTAGTGTGGGTAGCGTGTACTGCCTACTAAGTTTTTCATTTCTAGAAAAGAACATACTGTTCTTAGTATATTTGCAATAAGTGAACATTGTCTTTCTAAAATAATTTTAAATGAGAATTGTACCTGAGTTTTAAAATTGTCTTTAAAATTGTCTTTCCTTGACAACCTTGAGGCAGTGGTTAATATTTTGGTTTGGCTTTTTTGTTTTTTTATGATTAACAACAAACAAGCCTTTGGTTAAATGCACTCACTGGCTTTTGAGTTGATTAGCCTGTCTTAGTTTGGAGATCTGTTATTTATCATATGACTTTGGGTGAGTTACTTCTCTAAGCCTTGGTTTCCTCATTTACAAAATGAGGACGCTAACAGTTACCTGTATCACAAGGTTGTGTAGTTATAAATCAAATATTCCAAAAAAGAACTTAGTACAGTCCCTGCTATATATTGGTATTATCAATGCTAATAAATACTTGTCTTCAAAAAAGAAATCTTTATTATATAATGATATTTATTTTAAGCTCTAAAAGCCACATGTATGTCTTTAAATTCTAAATCCACACTAGGCCAGAACAGCTGGCTGATAAATAGATTACATTCAAAATATGCTTCGGTAGACACTATTAGCAAAATTGGAAAAATAATAGAAAAAGAAAAGAACTTTCTAGGAACAGTGTCTCTCTGCACTTCGTGCGAGAATATATTGGAAGGTTGGTTTTTGTGTGAGTTTTTTCTAAGTAACATTTTAAATAATTGGATTATTTTCCTCATGTTCTCAGCTTTTGTATGAGTAGCTGCATAGTGTTTAAAAATTAGTTGCCTGGGCTTAGGGGCAAATGCCTATAGTCCTATAGCTACTTACTGGCACATGCCTATAGTCCATGCCTATAGCTACTCGGAGGCTCAGACAGGAGAATTGTTGGAGGCCAGTCTGGGCAGCATAGTCATACCTTATCTCTAAAAAATAAAATCAGCTACCTTTTCTTGATCTGCTAGAAGTTTATATATGAGAGTGCAACATTTATTCTCATAAATGTCTAGCTATTTTTGAAGGTAAGCCTAGTCCATACTTCAGTTCTAATGAAAATAATTGTATCTGTTAATAATGGAAATTCTGGTTAGCTTTTTTGAA